TTTATTCGTTGCTTTCAGGTACCCAAGTTTGGTGTTTTGTTAATTGATAAGTGTTGAATAAGTGCTGATATTGGTGCTGACCTCTCCATGGGAAAATTTAAAGAAATATTTCTTCAATTGGAACGTGTTTTATAAGAAAAATCCATAACCAACTATCAAAATTCAATATTTTAGTGATTTTGAGCAATTTTGAAATTTTTATATTCATTCGTTATATATCATTTTGAAGACAGAAAAATAAGGAATTTGATGAGCTTATGAAATACAGGGTGTTCCATTTGAAAAATCATAAGTTTGAGTCGTATCTCCAAAACCATACCCCGAAAAAAAAATTTAAGTGCGCCACTGGATTATGCGTGAAATTCTCTATGCGATAAAATTTTCATTTGACATTTTTGTTGAGAAACTTCGTGGATATAGAGGGGGTCCAAAAAGTATAAATTTTCAAAATCGCCCTGTATCTCATAAACGGAAACAGTCTTGCAAAATCTGATCAGGCCATCTTGAGTTTCACAAAAAAAAGGCACAGGACCGCGAAAACCGCAAGGTTCTATCTCCAAAGATAACTGAGAAATCAGGCAAAAGCATCGAAAACTGGACACACTGTACATGTTTACTCCTTCTCAGCACATCATTCGTTTTCAGTAACGGAGTGAAGTTCCATTATCATCTTCTGATGATGAGCGCTATGAAATTATTTCCTTCTATGTGGAAACTCTAGCTTGAGGTCATTTGCTTGTAACACCGAGAGCTATCACAGGTAGCTTAGATGAGTTTCCAAAGGAAGCTCAAGATTCAATCATTGGTGAGGAGGACTCTGAACAATGATTGGAATTTTGAATTGTGATGTTATTTCTATAATGTGTTCTTTATAGTTTAGGGAAACATGGATTCTTCGATGTAATATTTGTGACATGGAATAGGAATCATTATCAATTGACTTTGTTCCATTAGAATCATTCAATACATATTATTGATATTATCCACATTGCTGGTGACCCCATCTAGAAACATGACATTTAGATCGTGCTTGAGAATCTCCTGCGACATGATCTCTCTATTCGGGGTCATTAATTGTAGTAAAAAAAGCACAGTAGCTGAATACAGTTTGTCCCATGCATAGACCCAGGTAGCACATTATATTGGCTGGAACCCGATTTCATATTGGGCCGATATAGATGTATCGTACATGTGAAAAATAATATAGGTTCAATATGAGAGTATGTTGGACGAACAATATTGAAATGATAATATTGGTGGAATATTGGTTCATCCTGAGCTGAATATGGATTGTCAGCAACAATATTGGAGCAATTTTGGTTGTAGAATTCATTAACAATGTGTTGAAAAACATATCTATAAATATTATATAATATTGTTTTACAAATGTCGATACAACAACATCGTATACATATTGTTCCCGACATTTATAACCAATATCGCATTTTGAACATTCTCCCCATGTCGATTCTGAAGCGGGTATGCAATATTGTATATTCAAGTTAAACGGCATATTGGTTGGATATTGTTTTAACAATATTTGAAACATCATATTCACCTATCTTGATTGATATCATTTTATCTATATCATGCTGAAGATATCGTATACATTTTGTTTTTAACATTTATAACCAATATCGCGATTTGAATTTTCTCCTCATGTCGATTCTGAAGCGGTTGTGCGATATTGTATATTCAAGGTCGACGGCATATTGGTTGAATGTTGTTTCAACAATATTCGAAACATCATATTCACCTATCTTGATTGTGTCATTTTATCCATATCATATGGAAGTTATCGTATAAATATTGTTTCCAACAATCATAACCAATATAGCAATTTGAACATTCTCCCCATGTCAATTCTGAAGCGGTTATGAAATATTGTATGTTCGAGTTCGACGGCACATTGGTAAAATATTGTTTCAACGATATCTGGAACATTGAATTCACCTATATTGATTGATATCATTTCAACTATATCACGCGGAAGATATTGTATACATATTGTTTCCAACAACTATAACCAATATCGCAATCTGAACATTCTCCCCATGTCGATTCTGAAGCGGATATGCAAACTTGTATATTCGAGTTCGACGGCTCATTTTTGAATATTGTTCATTCGACAATATTCAAAACATCATATTTACCCAAATTGATTGATATCATTTCAACTTTATCATGCGAGAGACATGGAATGCATATTGTTTCAAATATGAATATCAATAACGGCAATTCAATATATATATTTTATATCGGTCATAGAAGAGGAAAACAATAATTTTCAAGTTCAATTGCATATCGGTTGAATAGTTTGCCACCCATATTCAGAAAATAATATCATCTTATATTGGCTGACATCTGATTCACTATATCATGTGAGCAATATTGTTCACATATTGTTTTGAGGAAACATATCGATATCGAAATTTCGATATTTATTCCATATCACGCACTCTCAAACCGATGTCGATAGATGGCGCTATAAATGATTGGTAACGTACTCCCATTGTCGATCAGACGAGAGAATATAAATATTGGCTCTAGACGATTGTAAAGCATTATTACCTGGAGTAGGGGTTAACCGTGATCCCCAGGGCAAGGTCCTCCCATTGCACTTCGGCTGGGCTGGCCTTTGTGATTATTCCTAATGCGACTAACTCGCAAATATTGATATGAAAATATTCCACTAATATTTAGAAGACAACATAGCTACATAATGATTTTCAATAATGTACCAATATTTCCAACCAATATTGCACCAGTATATCAGTATAATATTCCAGCAATATTGGTATGAAAATATTCTACCAATATTTCTGGGACAACATAGGTTCATGATGATTTTCAATGTTTCACCGATATTTCCATATAATATTGCACAAATATTGCCGAAAGTTCTTTATTAATTTTTAGCCAATATTGATATCACATTTTGTGACCAATATAACTTTACGAATATCCAACCAATATTGATATGAGAATATTCTACCCACATTTGGAAACTGATATTGTACCAATATCGCCGAATGTTCACATTTTTTTCTCGCCCATATTCATTTCACAATATTTTGCCGATATTTTCATAATATTGCACCGATATTGTGCCAATATATGTGTGCTACTTGGGGATAATTCCCATCAGCCTTGCGATTTCTATGAAATAATGTAGTCTAAAATGCTTAAGCTCTTGTTTGGTTTTGGTGTTCAGTCATAAGTTCGGTCAATGAACAGTTATCGCAACCTTCAGACCAGTTGTAACAATAAGGTTGAACAGCAACAACGTTGCACACACTGTATATTTTAATCATAAAGTAGTGGTTGGTTTGAGTATAGTTCACACTAGTCAGTATCTATGGTAGAGCCACTGCTTTTTAGCAATCGAAACCCGTACTCACTGCTATAGGTGGGTATGATCAATTCGAAATTAGAAACATTATTATTTGTAGTTGACCTCATTTTTTCCCATTCAGGAGGCCAACTTTCATTCCGTTTATCATTACTGTCGAAATCTATAGATACTCTTCTTATATCATAATGTTATGCGACATGAAAAAACCTTGTAAAATCTCTTGTAAAACTGAACATCGATACGTGATCATGGTGTCGAATCGAAGCTACCATATTTGTAACATTATTTCTGTATTTCATTTCAAGACCAGGTGGTGTTGATAGAGATGTTACAATGTTTCAACAGTGTGTCTCCCTCATCTTTTCTCGAACACATCATACTCGCATTCAGAAAAGACATCTGCTGCCCGCAATCAGAGAAAACATATTCTGCTACTCGCATTCGGAAAGACACACCTGTTACTTACTAGTGACTGAATCATCCATCTGAAACGTCCGCTAGCCGCATGTTCGTTGAACCAAACATTTGGTACCTCGCATATCTTTGCGTCAATCGATATAAAAAATTGTCAATAATTCGAAAATGATCACCACTAACGTTTTCAAGGGAGTGTGCCTCTTTTACTCAAAGAAGGTGTAGGAGTAGGGTTTTTCTCATGAGAAGTACCAAAAGTTCACTGTCACAAATGTTAGGGCCATTTGAAATGAATAATGACAGCGTACGCAGCACCCTCTAGATGTAACATGGGTATTGATTGAATGATTTTTCACGTGGAGTAAGTTTCGGGTACCATATTCCATACAAATAACTAATTTTTGCAGAAATTTTTTTCAAAGAGCGAACAACAAAATTCAACCTGTATCGCCAAAACCATGCATTGTCGGACACAAGTTTATAAATACTTCTCTTTCAGTTTGTTTCAGGAATACATCCCTTGAATATTACAACGTACTAATGTTACACCCGTGTGTTGAAAAACATAAAAAAATCTTATTGAACAATAGATCAAGTGAAAAACCAAACAATCATTCCATTATAGCAAAATTCGAAGAATGAAAACATACGCACTTGAATTAATCGTTGGAAATGTCCGCCGTTAGCTTTAGTGCACGCAGCAAAACATATTCTTGAAAAAAAAATTATCATGTTCTTCAACATGAAAGTCGTTTTGTTTTTCCGAAAAAGTTCAACTTCAGAGCTTGCGACTTCAGGTCCTTTCTTTTGTGTAGACAACATTTGCGGTCCAAACGGGTGGCTCAAATCTCAACTTTATTCAGTGACGTAGAAGTTGGGCAAAAAAACACCACTACCCTTTCAAAATATTCACCAATTATGAACAGAAGCAAATTTGCAAAAAAAAGAGTTTATTATGTGTAGAAAATGTTATTCGCAAAAAACATTTTTTTTTTTCAATCCTCAACACCCTCCTTATCTGTCCATTTTAGTGTATGGGTTGATGAAAACTTTTCTTGCATATTTCTAGACGAGCTATCACAAACTAAAGTTCTGCGCATATATTATGAAGCACCCTGTACATTGGGAACATTTCGAATATTCTTGAAATTGATGATCGAATATATTATAATTCATTCGACTGAGGTTTTTTATACTGTTTGCGAATAAACATGTTTTTTTTTTCATCTAGACTGAAGTGGACGTATTTCGCAAAGACAGTCGCAAACTACCAATAGGAGATCCAGACATTGATTGGGAGGAGACCGTCTACCTGAACTTGATTATCCACCAGTTTGAGTATACTCTTACCCTTGCCATTTGTACAAGGACGAGTCCGAAAGAACTTCAAGTCCTGAAGAGGCACTCGCAGAAAGTATACGCTTCACCAAGTAGAAGGAGAATGGATACAAAAGGAGAGGTTGAAGAGATGACCTATCCACACATATGTTTCATGGTGAGTGCCAATACAGTACTTATTCTCATGAATTGGCGAATGCAAGTTCTTATTCATGAATGATTTTTCTCTCAGTATAGTTTTTTAATGACTCCATCACAAATCATCGAGAGGTTTATCGTGAATTATTTCTCCTTCCTCTTATTGGTATATTCCGATGTGGTTACTGATTCAACGTTTCAATATCTCTCTTATCTCCAAGGAATGTCACCTGGGAATATTCATCACTTCAATCATCAACGTGTCGATGAATGGAGGATATATACAGGGTTGAGCGATATATGATAGCTAGCAACATGATTCTGGAACGGATGCGAATGTGACAATAAGGTCCAAAACTAGAAAATATTGCGGCATATACATATAGGGGACATCTTGAAAAGTATAGAAGAAGAAGTCAACCGAGTAACTGCATCGGTATATAGAACCAGAAGACTTCAGACCGATTCGTCAACCAGTCCAGAGATTGCCACAGGCTGAAAGAGATATTGCCGTCAAGATGACTCAGAAAATGAAAGTGGATGGAGAAATCGAGTCATTCAGTAGTCCTTGGGCTTCATCAGATGACCAAGTTGACAAGACAAATAGGACGAAAAGACATTATTTGACATTTCGTCGTCTTGTCGGATTGGAGGTAATCGTTCTACCAAAGCAAAGCACAATGATCTGTTGGAAGCAACCAATAGCCCTATTTACAGTTTTGCAGTTGATAGTACCCTCCAGGGCAAAGGCAGGTCATTGCTGTCAATGAAGATCTTGCTAAAGTCACATCCTGGATAACTAACAACCTAGTTGAATTCAACGTTGCGAAAACCTGATATAACAATGTCTCATACCAACATTCCCACCGAGTCCACTATATCAATGCTCGGTGTCTCCATCAACAACTTCTCATGATTTACGAAGCACTTATACGACCTGTTCTAGAATACTGTTCTCACATATGGGGTTCGGCACTCAAACATACTCTGATGCTCTCAGATTTTATCCAGAGAAGAGTCATTCGCCTGGTGGGTGATGCCACACTCACTCACACTTCGAGATCATTGAAACACCGTAGAAGGGTCGGCGACCTTCTAAGTTTTCATGGATACTTCCACGGGAAATGTTTTTCAGAAATCTTTGCTATCATTCCACGAGTAGCAATATCAGCCAGACGAACTCGAGTGCAGTCAGTGCATCCTTCCGTTGTTTACCTCGAAATATGTCCAACAGCACTATCACAAAGCTTGTTTCTCCAAAAGTCCGAGAGGAATTCAACACCTTCCTCCTCTTCCTATTCTCCCTAGGTACGCACGATGTTCTTCGAACATTATAAGGATTCCTCTTCGTGCACACCGAGCGATAAATACAATACTACTGTTTGTGGAATACTCACACAAAAATTCCGAAGACTTCCTTACATGGTTCTACTAATTTCCAATCACTATTCTACAACTACCCGGAAAAATAGTGATATAATATTTGTATCTCAGAATATGCACTGATTCTCTTAATTCTTATATGAAAGACGCAAAATCAAGTTTCGCTCTCACCTTATTTTTTCTCCATAAATCCTGGATGGCTGCTTTGGCTAGACTTGGATACGAAGGGGCCCCCTGTTGCTCTAATCACCTATCAGGGTTGTTATTCTCGAGGTACGAATCACTTCACTTGCGGGTCATGAATTTTATGACAAAAGGTTGCGGTTGATTTTGAATTGTATTCGGTACGCGGAGTCTTTAGCGGTGAGTACTACTCGAAACCCATTTCATATTGGTTTTTCGATTCCTCATCTTCCATACTCCACACATGCGCACCATAAGCACAGAGATCAACGTGATTTTAATCATGCGCGAAAATGACTGAACTGAATATCATCAGGACGACAGCTTCTTCTAACACTACATATTCTGATGTGGATTTGATTGAATATCTTAACTTAAATCAATAATTAAACTATAAGAAACTACTACCTAAACTAATATTGAACATACTACCCCACCGTTTTGTTGAGTAAAACTTAGCAAAACAATGTGTAGAAACATAACTAGACATCTGGCAAAAGGCACAACTACACCAGAGGGCGGGTATATCTTGTTATCTGTAGTGGTTCTAATGAATAAATTATCGATACAAGCTCAAAACTAATGAAGAATTATGAGAATGACTTTCGTTCACAGTTTCAATATTTTTATTGACATTGATTATTAAACTCAATCTACAGTGGGTGATAAATAATAGTATCAAACAAATTCCTTTAATTGCAATCCAATCATTGTATTTCAACACCCCCCCTCAATTGAAGAATCCTGGAAGGTCCAAGTCCTATTTTTGTTCTGAAGTATACAAATTTTTTCTTGGATAGAGCCTTAGTAAGGATGTCAGCTTCTTGTTGGTCAGTCGGTATATATTGCAATGATAGTGAACCATTTTCCACATTCTCTCTAATAAAATGATACTTTATATCGATGTGTTTAGTTCTCTTCATGTTATGTGAGTTTTTAGTCATTTTAATACAGCCCTGATTATCCTCGAAGATGACTACTGGCTTCCGAAAGACAATATCCAAATCTTGCAGAATATTTTGGATCCATAGTAATTCGCATGTAGCAGTGCTGACCGATATATACTCCGCCTCAGTTGACGATAGGGCCACAGAATTTTGTTTTCGGGTTGTCCAAGAAATGGTATTCCCGAATACTTTGAATAGGAACCCAGATATAGATTTTCTATCCTTTGAATCACCTGCCCAGTCGGAGTCTGCAAATCCAATTATGGCTTCTGTGGGACTTCCTGATTCAAAACACAGCTCGAAATCTATAGTTCCTTTAATATATCTTAGTAGCCTCTTGAGATGGTTCCAGTGTGTTTTTGTATAACAGTTTTGAAATCTACTGAAGAAACTGATAGCTATACTCAGATCTGGTCGATAGCATAACATGGGATACATAATGCAACCAACAAGTTCCCTGTATGGAAGATCTCTGGCCTCTTCTTGATCTTTGTGCTCCCCAGTTTCTAGAACTAGATTAGTCTCCATGGGTGTGCTAACGGGCTTACAGTCATCCATATTGAAGCGTTTCAATACTTGTCTCAAGTAATGAGTTTGACTAATTCTCAACTCTTTATTTTCACGTACTCTTGCTACCTTCATTCCAAGGTAGTATTTCACCTCTCCTTCATCTGTCATTTCGAATTGTTCTGATAGTTTCCTTTTCAACAATTCAATTTCAAGAATTTCGTTAGAGACAATAAGTAGATCATCTACATAGATCACTAGATAAATTCTGGCTCTTGGAGTGAATTTCGTGTACAGGCAGTAATCTGAAATAGATCTTACAAAACCAACGCCGAGTAGAAATGTGTTAAGACGATCGTTCCAACATTTCGGTGCTTGTTTGAGTCCATAAATTGATTTTTCCAATTTACATACCAGACCATTCGTTTCCAAGCCCTCTGGAGGTTTCATATAGATTTCCTCTTTCAGTATGCCATTCAGGAATGCTGTTTTTATGTCCATTTGATGCATTTCAAAATCATAGTGATTAGCAATGGCCATCACCACTCTAATGGTTACCAATTTTGCAACTGGAGCATACGTCTCATGATAGTCAAAATGTTCCTTTTGAGAGTATCCCTTAGCAACGAGTCGTGCTTTGTATTTTTTGATATTGCCAGCATCGTCTCTCTTGATTTTGAATGTCCATTTACTTCCTACAAGTGTCTTATTTTCTGGTGCTCTACATAATTTCCATGTTTTGTTATTTTCTAATGATCTTATTTCCTCTTCCATCGCTTCCTGCCATTTCTTTTTGTCTTCTCTCTGCTCTAAATCCTTTATCTGTTGTGGCACATCTTCAACAAAATTTTCAGCGCTAAGTGCTAAACAACTGAAGTCAAAGTCATCCTTCCACTTTGGTTCTTTGCGTTGTCTTGCACTACGTCTGAGATTTAGATCATCTTGATTCACGTTTTTGGACGTCGATTCTATGGTATCGTTGTTATCCACGTCATCCATTATTATTGCATCGTTCTCGTTTTCGCTATTTTCTTCAACTTTCCCACCTTCTGATATATTTTCCTCCTGTTCTAATCTGTTTGTTCTGCATGTTTCAGATATTTCTTCCAATATATTCTCATTCCAGGAGCAGTATTGAGTTTTTGACGGTTTATTGTGTAAAGTTTCCTCCGTTCCTTTCATTCTTTCATCAAAGACAATGTCTCTTTTCAAAGTAATGGTTCTTCTTCTAGTGTTCCAGATTCTATAACCATGTACGCCATAACCAACTAGTATTCCTCTTTCCGATTTTGAATCTAACTTCTTCCTAAGTTGATTTGGTACATGGCAATGTGCTACACTACCAAAAATTCTCAGGTGTGACATATCAGGTTTTTTATTGTACCACATTTCGTAAGGTGTCTCCCTCTTCTGAGTTGTCCTACAGATTAATCTATTTGTCAGGTATGTGGCGGTAAGAATAGCCTCTCCCCACATTTCCTTTGATAAGCCAGATGCGAAGATCATTGCTCTAGCCTTTTCCATCAAAGTCCGATTCATACGTTCGCTAACGCCATTCTGTTCCGGAGTGTATGCTACTGTATATTCCAGTTGAATTCCATTCTCCCTGCAATGTTTCCTGAATGCTGTTGACACATACTCCCCACCGTTGTCACATACCAGCCGAGATATTTTTGAACCAAAATGAGCGGTTACCATGCTTTCGTATTCTTGAAAGAATCCATGAACTTCGTCCTTAGAGAAAAGTAGATAGGTGACAGTCATGTGCGTGAAATCATCAATGAAAACCACAAAGTACTTTTTATTATTCCAAGTACTTGGAGTAAGTGGACCGCATACATCGCTGTATACAATTTCTAGAGGTCGACTCGATCTTGGCAAATTTCTGTCACGAAATGGACTCCGAGTTTGTTTACCATTGATACAGGCTTCGCATATGTCCGTAGAATTGTTCGTAGATGGTAGGTTTATTCCTGTTACACAATTTGATTTCATCATC